CTGTTAAAAAGTAACATGTACCAATTATTATAAAAATTAATACAAATTTATTATTTAAATTCAAGTGACACCTCACAAATTACAGTGAATCTCAATCAATGAATAAAGTTGTAGAAGTTAAAATACATAATTATAGAATATCATAGTTTTTCAACTCTAACGCACTTTTAGTATAAAACGAACCTGACGATGTCCTGTCATTGTCACGACTAAATTATCATATTATGTATAATATAAATTATTAGAATTAAATAAATTATTAGGGAAAACAAAGAGTATAAACAAATCTAAGGTGTAATGATCTAAGCGTTAAAATATACAATAATAAGGCTAATTCTAATTAAAAGAAACATTACAATATATAAAAAATTTTTTATAAAATTAATGATTAATGATTATTTTTCATTTCATTTAACATCAGCTTATAATTATGATGTAAACCTTCTGTGTCATTACGTTTATTTAAGCCATTATCTTGTAAATGGATGTGTATGCATTCCGAAATTAAACGTCTATTTAAATATCTTTCTGAATCTAATACTTCAACACTATCCCACTTAAAATCATGTCCATATTCTAGTCTATGTTTTGTAATGACTGATTGTGAGTTAGTATTATGGTTTATGTGATTCTTATGCTCATTAATTCGTGTTTTTAATTTTCGTCCTGTTTGTCCAACGTAAGTTGCATCGCAAGAATCACATGAAATTTTGTACACAACATTTCTCTTTTTTTCTTTAGGTAACAAATCCTTATGTACTCTAATAAACTTATTCATTTTATTCAACCCAAAATAAGCCATTTTTGCGTTAAACAAATTACCAACTCTCTTGAAGGCTTCGCAGAGATTGATGGAATATAAAGTAACCAAAAACCAACTCTGTTTTGTAATTAAATTATCACTATTGTCTTTTATATTAACATTCTGTTTTTTGATTAAAGTTTCTAATCTATAGTTAATGGAGTTAAAAATGAAATCTAAAGGATAGTCATTGTTAATTAAAATGCTAACCAAATGCTTTAAATTTTTTAGGTGGTATTTAGGATGCGAGAGTAAAAATATCCTATCCACCATTCCTATAATTATTCCTCTTTTTTGTGATAAAGGATGTAAAGACAAAAAATTTAGGAACCTTCCCGAAGACGTAGGTTTATGATACAAGTCAAATTCTAAAATATTGTTATGATTAATCAGCTCAACGTCCAAAAAACTAATTCTATTGCCTCCCACTTCTATCGTGAACTGTAATCTATTGTGAAAGGAATTGAAAGCATTTAACACAAAATCAATCATGCTATCCGGTATTGCCATGATGATGTCGTCCACATATCTATAATAAAATAATGGTCTAATATAGTTAATTTACTCAACACATCTTCTTCCAAATCACGCATTACTAAGTCAGCAATAATTGGAGATAACGGCGATCCCATCGGTGTACCAAAATTTTGTTTATAAAAACAATCGTCAAAGCTAAAAAACGTAGAATCCAAAACCAATTTTACTGCAAGCAAAAATTCATGTTTAGAAATCTTTATCTTATCATTTAAATAATTCCACCTTCCATCAATACTTTCTAAAGCTTTATCAGTCGGTATGTTCGTGAATAAGGACACAACATCAAGAGAGATCAATGTGTAATCATGATTAATATAAGTGCCTCTTAATTTTATAACTAATTCAAAACTGTTTACGATATTTCTTTCTGAATTCGGTATACATTTAGACAAAATATTATGCAAAAACCCAGCAAAAATAGAGTTGAAAAATTATGATATTCTATAATTGTGTATTTTAACTTCTACAACTTTATTCATTGATTGAGATTCACTGTGATTTGTGAGGTATGTCACTTGAATTTAAGGCTCCTGAATACCGGCGACGGCCATGTTGGAATTGTGACGTCATAAGCGAGAAAAACACATTAATTTTTCTTGCGTCCCATTTTTTAATAAAGACAATTTGGATAAATTTAAAAGGCGAGATCGCTCAAAAACACTTGTGAAAATTGGCGGAAACTGTCCTTTCCTCCTCTAATAGTCAGTAAATGGTCGTAAAAGGCACGTAAAGTGAGCCTATACTCGGGCAGAATCACACATTTTGACAGCTGGGGTGCGTTCAGAAATTACACTCAGATAACTCTTGGGTGCATTTTTGATATAATATACGTAACGTAAACTATAGCCTAGAGTTACCTAGGCGTAATTTCTGAACGCAGCCCTGATGAAACGAGTGAAATATACGCTTTTACGTATAAAATTTCACGATAACTGCAATTTCCGCCAATTTTTAGGACTTTCACGAGTACGAGGGAAATCACATTTTCACAAATAAGCAATATATTGACAAAATGGCACGCAAGAAAAAATTTGTCGTCAAAACATCACTTTTTCACGCCTATTAGTTCAGACTTTTACCATGGCGAGGCGCTATACACACACACAAGCATGAACCCATGTCTGTGCGTTCCCCTTCTACCTGAAAATGAGCACACGGACATGAGCTTGCAATTGTGTGTATAACCAGTAGCGTACTACCAGTTTTGCTAACCACCGACTGATTCGGTGTCGCTACCCATCAACACGGAGTTCTTGGCTGAGTATTCAGGAGCCTTAAATAATAAATTTGTATTAATTTTTATAATAATTGGTACATGTTACTTTTTAACAGAATATAACATCTTTTCTGCCAATTTGATGTGATGTGTCTCACAAATATTATTTTAATATATTTAATTTGGAAATGTACTGAAGATGACTCTATATGAGTCGAAACGTATATATTTTGTCCATTATTGAATAAATGATATTTTTCAATTTAATTCAATAATAAGAGTTATTATTTATTGCGTATCAAGATCAACGCTGCACTCTCATTCGCCCTTGAGGAATGTATTATTTTTAATCTAGTGACTTTAGTCGAACGAGTCAACGAGGCGCAACAATAGATTCCATTCTTTTCATATGCAGATCTTTGTTTCATTTTTATCTTTTTCATTAGAATTTTAATTTCCCTGACTCAAAAGAACCTATTTCTAAATAGATCTCATTCTTCCTATATACTGACCTTTACGCTGTTTCATCTTGTTTAGTATTGTTCCAATTTCTTCTTTCAAGAATTCTTGATATTCAAAAAGTATGTTCCATGCTTTTGATTATTGTTTTAATATTGGGCTTTTATAAGTTGAGAAATTATGTTATATTATAATATGTTATATATTAAATGAAATTATCAATTTAGGAATGGTCTATTAAAATCAGTGCTGTTGAACATAATGAGAAGTCTTGACATTGTTCCATTTGCAAATTTTTCAGAATTTTCTTTTGCATATACAAATATCTTACATAAGCAGTCTTCTTGACTAGAGAAGCTAGATAATAAAAAACTTTCAAATTATTAACAAGTTTCATTGTGAGTACAACTATAATAATAAAAACTATTCATGTTAAAAAACAAAGTAATTTTATTATTTTAACCGTAATGTTGAATATACACAATGAAATGAAATTTTTTATTACTTATAAATTAATTAAAATAAAACTTATAGTTATGTGATTACAAAATTATACACTTTATTACATAGGAAAAGATTTTATATTTGTTGCAACTCCTATAAACGCCATCTATATTTGTTGAATATCATTATTTCTATTTAAAAATAACATTATGTGACTGATAAACTTCCACCGGCTTTAGAAATCTTTGCAATTTCCTCCTTAAATTTTGCAATTGTCTCTTTTGCCAAGGTCAATTTCTCTTTTAAATCTATCACTTCGAGTCTAATCTTGCTGCGTGCTTCCATAATGTCCTTCATTGCAGATTCCTTCAATGCTTCAACTGCAATATATATATATATATATATATATATAATTATAAATTTATTAAATTATTCCATTAAATTAATCCAAGCTAAAATACAAGCATAAATTGAACACGAACAGTCTGTATTATGTCGCCAAGCTCCGAGCGTCATTGGTCTACTAGAATTCAGTAGATGTTGCATCAAAGCTGTTGGATCCTGAAAAACTATCTCTTCATAAAATTCGGATACTAGACTTTTCTTCCCCAGTTGTATCTCAGGCGTCGACTGAAACAATTTCAGTATATGATATACTGTTACCTGAAATTAATCACATATCTTTTTACAGCCAATAAAATAATGATTAGATTCAGAAAAATTCAGTCTTGCAGTAAATTTGTTTACTTACAGGACGTTCGTTCGGATCATGAAAATAGATTTTAATGACTATCTCAAATTCTCCCCAGCCGGTTTCTGTCAATTCATACGGTGGTTTCGTTACAATCCGATTAGGATTATTGTAACTCTCATGTAGCTTAAAATGTACCTTCTTCACGTAGGTGGACATATCCTCATTGTTATAGGGCTTAACATATACAGTCCACTGATGCGTGTGTCCATCTTCCTCCCTCTTTTTGCCAAAGTATCGTGCTACATTTCCGTAAACTATAGGCTTAACTATGGTAACACCCTGTCAGAAGTAAATCACTTAAAGTGATATATATATATATATATCAATTTTTATTATACAAAACTTGTGGCGGTAACCTTCATTACAGTTTGTGCTATTACCATTGACACAGTTAATATTTTTGGTTACCTTTATTCTACCACCAGAATCTGGACCAAACTCGTTTGTGGATGCCATTGTCTTTACAATAAACTTGAAATCACAGTAAAGGTGCAATAGAGGGTAATAGTCTCAAAAATCGATTAAATTATACTCATTCGACGCGTTCTTCCATAAAACGAAAGAATCTGGCAGAAATAAGCGTCGCTCTGCCCCGCAATCCGAGTAAGCATCAAAGTTGACGACTATTGAGGTTAGGAAATCTGTCACAGCCCTACAATTGCCATGGTCTTCTTCTTCTTCTTCTTTAATTAATGGCTCCCGCCTCCAAATAATGAAATAGGAGGTCGATAAGGCCAGATCACGTCTTAAATATAAACCGTACAAATATGAAAACAAACGGGTGATGCCCGCGAAAATAGAGTAGCTCGAACGTACACCGGTCGTATCATGGCATCGTAAGCGTCGTGAGACTTCTAACTGACACATCGGATTGGCTGTTGCAACAAATTTGTGACCTGCGACGTCTACAATACGACCAATGTAGAATGGGCTTAAGCATCGTGAACTTTAAATTGACACATCGGATTGGCTGTTGCCAACAAATTTGTGACCCTGCGATGCTTACGATACGACTAATGTAGAATGGGCTTTAAGCCCATTCTACAATTGCGTAAGAATTGACCAATCACAGTCGAATATTCTTCTTATATTTGACAGTGATTGGTTAATTCTTGCAACTACATCCAGTTACAACTACACTTATGCAATTGTAAAATGGGCTTAAGACGCACGCTATCACTCTACGCTTTATGTAGGATTCACACTGCGTATATACAACTAAACGGTATGATATCCAATAAGAGAGCTTGTTTTCTTGATATATAGCTACCAAATTTTGTTACCTGATGATGGTTGCTTGTCGTATATATATCTAGAAAACAAGCTCTCCTATTGTATATCGTACCGTCATACGTCGAATGTCGTACGCAGTGTGAATCCTACATTACGTTCGCGCTGCATCCGATATAAACTAGCCAAAACTAGTTACAGTTGCTCCCCGGTGAGACAACTAGAAAAAAATTGCTTGTTGTTTTTCATTTCCCTTCCGAAAGACAAAGAGATGAGCACCGCGGTCACTGAGAAAACGTAAGCATTGTGCGCGGGTTTTCATTTGCATTACATCGCCGTGCATCGGCGGTCGCGTGTCGGTTCGTACTGATACGTAGTTATGGGCACGTCCGTCTCACAGTACCCTCGTGATCCTCGATCATCGACTATTGATTTAATTCAATCGTACTTTGTGTGCCGCCTGTACCTGACCGACGGCGCGTGAGTCACGAGTGTTATGTAACAATTTATACCGCGGCCAGTCACTCCGACGTGGATACTGAATTACTGATGGATACGCGACCGTGATGTTTATATATTGATTAAGAGTCATTTATATATTGCAATTATAGCCAAGTAGGTATGTAAATACATACGTTCCTTTAAGCCTATTCTACAATGACCCTAAGCCATAAAAATTGACCAATCGTAATCGATTATTCTCCTCATATTCGATTACGATTGGTCAATTTTTATGGCTTACAGCATTGTAGAATAGGCTTTAGACTGATTCCACCTTAACCCCGGATCTACAATAGAGTTTTAATCCTTAAGCCATAAGAAATGGACGAATCATAATCGATTATTCTCCTCGAATTCGACTGTAATTGGTTAATTTCTTATGGCTTAAAACATCTATTGTAGATCCGGGGTTAAAAGCCAATCGATGATCCGATCTCAAGTTCTGATTTGAAATGAACAAATAAATTCTTTAAATATTTCAAACTTTATTTTTGATAAATTTGCAATTTAAAGACTGACGAGTGCAATGCATTTTTTTTCTTCATCAATAATATTTTAGGTGTAGTAAAAAGAAATCCATTATTTTTCCAATAGATTTTATGTAAAAATAATGGATTTCTTTTTACTACAATATATCATTTCAAAAGACGATGGAATTAATGAAAATTAATTATATGAAAAGGAGCGCCATAAGTCAAGGTTATCTACGTACATAGTCTCGTGTTTATCTTTAATAACTTTCAGGAACGACACGAATGCTCTAGTGTGGCGATCAAAAGGAATTCTTATAGTTCAGTTGTAAATATTGTTAATATTTTTCCAAATTATTCAATTTATCCAAATTAAATTTTTTTTTTAAGTATTGTGTGTATATATACAAAATTATTCTATTTATTCTTAATAGACAAATATTTCGGAAAAATATGCCATTTTTTTACTATTATATATTGCATGTGATGTGATTATTTACTTATATAAGTCAAAACAATTGATATAATAAATATTAAAATCTTTTTAAGACCGTACAAATGATAAATAACAAACAAGAAGAAGGGAGCCAATAACGGTCAAAACTGGATCACAAAATGCTTATTATAATTATGTGTGAATTTTATATACTGCGTATGTAGTCCCCTCATAAATCGCGACGCTGATAATTTTTCAGCATTGACGCATACATACTTTTACTACCGCAGTAATATCACGAATTTAATTGATTAACAACATTATTTAATTGATGCTCCTAGCATCATGAATCTTAATAGTGTTTTGAATGACATATTAAAATCTGAAGATGATAAATTAAAATTCCGTATTTAAAATTCTGTAAATAATTAAATCTTTAATTCTTATATATTTCAAAGAATATTACGTAATTTTGGCGTTTCGTCTACTACTATAGACTCATCAGTAAGGCAATTATTGTAGTGGAAACCTATACCTTAAGGCTTAAGACGCCTGTGTAAGTTATTAAATCGAGATTCTATATATGAAGAGATACGCCTATTTCCACACTTGCGAGAATTTTGCAAATATCTACATACCTACGCAGTATATAAAATTCACACATAATTATAACAAGCATTGTGATCCATCTTTGACCGTTATTGGTTCCCTTCTTCTTGTTAATTGATATAATGTTTGTAAAATAATGAAATAAAATTAAAATAAAAAATCGTAAATCAGCAGAAGAAATGAAATAAAATTTATTTTCAATGCGCTTGACAATTGTCGTGTATTTGCGATTTTCGGTTATCTCCAACTTCTCGATATCTATTTCGTCAGGTCGGGCGTAGAGTTCGCAATTGGTGCCTTGGCGGCGACGGGCGCCGGCTTCTTCACGAATCCTGTGGACGTGGTAAAGGTGCGGCTGCAACTGCAGGGTGAGCTGGAGGCTCGAGGCTCATATCAGAAGATATACAAGAACACCGTGCACGCCGCGTATCTCATTGCTAAACATGAAGGTGTGTTGGCTCTACAGGCGGGAATTGTGCCCGCGCTTGCCTTCCAGGTGGTGCTCAACGGTATCCGTTTGGGTGCATACAAGTCCGCCCAAAGATACGAACTGATCGTTGACAAGCAAGGCAATACCGATGTTCTAAGGACCACCCTGGTGTCCGGCACGGCCGGTTGCGTCGGCGCCGTTCTCGGCAGTCCATTCTATTTGGTAATTGTTTACTCTCGCTCTTTCTCCAACAGGAATCTTCCCTCAAGTACAAATCACCCAGAATGGGAAAATGAATCGTTATTGATGGAAAAATGATCATTACTTTTTGTAATTATTTTGGAATTATAGTAATTTTGATGGTACAATGATTTCTGTGTTTTACTTGAAAAGTCTCTTTGTTGAAACTATTTATAATATTGTACTTGAAAAAAATTTACTGTTCTTTCTAATTGATATAAAATTATGTACATTAATATTATAAAATCATACATATATATATGGGGCATTCCATGCCAAGTGGGCCACCCAATTTTTGGGCTTTCTCGTCGCACCGCTCTTTTCGCTTGTCGTTAGTGGGCATGAAAGGCAATTTTGAAAATAAAGTGCAGACGTATTCTTATAGAAAATGGAACGCTCTTTCACGTAAGAATATTCTTTTTTTGATCAGACCGGTTTACGATGATGTTTTTCAGTTTTGAACTTTTCAAAATGGCGGCGCGCATAAAAGGCCGCTCTCAATTTTCTGTTAATATAGCTCAAAATGTAGCTCCAGGTCTCTACTTTGTTACTCTAAAAGGACTTAATGGCACACGCATTCATTTAGGAGTAAGAGCTAGGAAAGTGAGGCAATGTCGCTCCGTCCCCCTGCCGCACCACTCATTTTCCTCACTTTCCTAGCTCTTACTCCCAAACGAATGCGTGTGCCATTAAGTCCTTTTAGAGTAACAAAGTAGAGACCTGGAGCTACATTTTGAGCTATATTAAAAGAAAATTGAGAGCGGCCTTTTAGGCGCGCCGCCATTTTGAAAAGTTCAAAACTGAAAAACATCATCGTAAACCGGTCTGATCAAAAAAAGAATATTCTTACGTGAAAGAGCGTTCAATTTTCTATAAGAATACGTCTGCACTTTATTTTCAAAATTGCCTTTCATGCCCACTAACGACAAGCGAAAAGAGCGCTGCAACGAGAAAGCCCAAAAATTGACGGTTCTACAGTTCGGTAACCAGTTGGCCTACAGGTATATTATTTGGGATAGAGTCTTTATTCATCAAACTGTTCAAGTTCACGCAATATGAACGAAATCCATGGAACTTCGCAAAATGGGTGGCCCACTTGGCGTGGAATGCCCCATATATATAGATATATATGTATATATATAAGCAAGAGTTATTTTTGCTTCAACGTTGAATAACTCGGTGAAAAAAAATCGTACGGAGCTTCGTAAAAAAGACAATTAAAGGTAAAGATTCACTCTTTCGAATAATGTAAATCGCATTTGCGTACAATTTTTAGTCAGCCCCGTGGAACTTCGCAAATTTCGTAAAAAATTTTGAGATCTGATATATCTTCACTTATGTTTGTGTAACTTCAAAAAATCTCAGTGAGACCACATTTTCAAGTAGCGATCTGAAAAGTAGAGGTTTCAAGCTGTAAAATGCTTTTTTAAACATCTCGATACGATGATTTTTGACGAAATTATTCTATCTTAAAGTTTGCATATTTTTGCATAGTGAAACAGATATTGTGTTAATTTTGTTGCGTTTTATTCTGCTTCTGTTACAACTTTAACTTTTTTTGTTTGAGACAAAATTCGAAAAGAATACTCTACATCCAATTGTTTGATGATTACAAAGTCTTATTTTAAATAAAATTAATACTAGAAACAGATTAACAATAAAAAAAAATAAAAGATAAAATAAAAAACTATGGTTGCTCGCAAGTAAACAGCTAGTGTCTTTGGGCTGAAAATTGATTTAATAAAATACAAGAGATATAAATATCTTTGCCTAGAAATATAAGCAATAAGAACGTCGGAATTACTCTTCGTACGCGGATTACAGCTATATAATCGGGAATTATACAATTATTTCGTAGGTCAAGACACAATTGCAGGCGCAATCTGCGAAATCCATAGCTGTGGGCTACCAGCACAATCACTCGGGATCATGGAACGCCTTCAAGTCTTTATGGATGGAGGGCGGTATCGCAGCTTTATTTCGTGGATGGAACGCCAACATGCCGCGCCTATTTGTCGGCTCGGCGACGCAGTTGACTACTTTCGGATTAGCATCGGATTGGTTGCGTTCGCTAAATGTAAGTAATAACCACTTGATCTCTCCATGCTTTCTAAAACTTTCCTTTTTATTGTGAGACCCCGAGTTTCCTCTACCGATAATTTTGGCGAATGGCTAAAGGAAACGGAATGCCGATGATGCATGCCACAATTTTAAAAAACAATACAAAAAATATCCCAACAGTTTCGATTTCTTAAATCAAAGTATACACACGTCTAAAAGCACTGATCGGTAATCGGATAGACCTCAGTGCGAGAGATTCAAAGATTACTCGAAATTCCTACGATACGACACAACGCGACGGAGTATTCTTTATTTCTCTCAGATATTTCCAGATCAGCCAATATTACTAACCTTCTTGGCCTCCGTGATCGGAGGTAGTTGCGTAGCCATCACCATGCAGCCATTTGATGTCTTAGCAACGCGATTGTATAATCAACGTGAGTATATCACACGAAACCCTGCATGGCAAAACCTACTATGTTAAACGCGCGATTTACCGAAGGCCACAATTGTGTGTCGCTGAACTTACAATGATGAACATTTGCACAAAATTGGAGTTTCATGTACTTAAACGTACATTGATTATCGCGTTCGTTCAGCTCGAAATATATCTCAAGATAAAACGTTTAATATTTGGTATATACGAACTATAAATATAATGAAATATATACACGACTATAAATACAACTCTAATACGCATGACTATAAATACAATTTGCATAAAGGATTCGTCGTAAAATATTATCTCAAATGAGAATAATGTTAAACATTCGATTAGAGAAAATATTCGGACATTAGAAGACTCGGTGTATCGCTCTAAACGCCAGATCTTTTAATAGCGCAAATTTCATAAAATAAGCAAATTTTATGCGTTTATTACTATGTTTGAAAATCACCAACTACTAAAAGTGTTTAAACGTACGCATATATACACACATAGAAACAGACGCGGCCGGCAAAGGTACTCTGTACAAAGGACTCGGAGACGCACTCGTCAAAATATTCCGCACAGAAGGTCTGATGGGCCTGTATAAAGGAACGTTTCCAACATGGATGAGGATAGCGCCGCATACGGTTTTGTGCTTAGTGTTTTACGAGAAACTAGATCAACTGTATAGTAATTTTAGAACACAAAACGATTGATGTTAGTTTTAAATTTGTATATAAATTATACATGTATTTCATATGTATTTATACCTTCTAGGTATATGCAAAGCGAGATTTTTATAAACTTTTCCAAGGACGTTGACTATTAAATATGTATTATAAATCTATTTGAATAAATTGATGTTACATATTGGCAGTGATCGCTCGAGAGTGAATAGAAATTTTTTAATTATGGACGTACGTCAAAATATTGTATAAATGTAAAAATCTTAGCCGCGTGTACTCTAATCATCTTTGCGTGTACATTATTTTACACTATTTTGAATATTTACGATATTTAAATATTAATATAATTGATAGAATATGTACAAATAGTCAATAGTGTATAAAATTCGCTTATATAATGATCCTGAATTTTGCTCGAATAGATTAATCTTGCGGCAGGAAGTCTTTTTTTATATTAATGTGCTATTATATGAACCAGATAGGAGCACAACATGCGAATTGTCATTCGCGTATAAGCAACGTGTGGCGGTGATGATTTGTTAATTTCATTTAAAAAATCGTATAAAAAGTACTTATTCAAGTTGCAAGTATTCAGTCTACGCAACGAATATTGCATTCGGTTTTGATTTGAAGCCTTGAGTCATAACTGCTGCTATTTCGGTCGTGCTTCGACCTCGCGTTTCAGGCAAGTAGATCCTATAACAATTTCACATTACATTGCGAATCATTTATTTGTGCATGACCATGGAATAACAATAATAAAATTATATTACGTACTGATTGATTATCACCAAGATCTGTATGCATCCAGCAAAGATCAGAAAGACGTACGGGCCGATCGCAGCCTGTAACGAGGGGAACATCATCCCGACGAGGAAGTTCCCTCCCCAATTAAACATGCTGCCTAATGACATAGCAGAAGGCCTAGGACCTACATCGAACAATTCGGAACCGATGAAATACGGTATAGGACCGAGACCGATACCGTAAGATATAACGTACACCAGTACCAAAATGGTGGAAAGCCATGACATGAATGAGGCTTTGTGCTGTAAAAAGACATATACTCAGTTTTGCGAAGATTTATACCACTTCACTAAGAATCAACATGTAAAAATATGTAAAGATATGCTATTAAAATTATTACAATTATTTATAATACTTACAATTAATGCAATAGAGAGTTTTAGAAAGAGAAGGCATCCTATGCATAAGTAACAGCTCAGGAATAATACTTTTCTTCTGCTAAATAGTGACATTACCAGCACGGAAATCACCGCCATCCCCATATTTGCAACACCAGTAGCTAGAGTCGCATATTGAGCACCGGCAATTCCCAGGCCAGCACTGAGGAATATCGTATTTGAGTAATAAAAAACCGCATTAATGCCACTAAGTTGCTGACCAAATTGCAGAAGGCACACTAAGAATAAGGCTAATCTCACAGTGGGCTCTTTCAACACCCGCTTAATGCTCCACGTTTCACTTGCCGATCTTGTCGCTAATTCTTGTTGCAAGCTAGCAATCTCGTTTTGCAGGAGCATTATGTCCATGTTGCGCAAGCGACTGAGCTCTAAAAGCAATCCGAATTTAAGATATTAAAGTAATAAGGGCAAATGAGCTAAAATAAAAACTCTAAAGAGATTACGGTTTATATTATGTATATTATATACTCATATGATCATTTGTAAAATAGTTGCACACACCTTTAAGAGCCTTTCCCTGTTCTCCTCTGATTATGTACAAATACTTCGGACTTTCTGGTAAAGTCAGTACAGTTAATAATAATGCAACGAGGCATAGCGGTGAGAAAGATGCTAGCATTATATGCCAGGACTCCGGGCTGCCCAGGACAGTTTCGAGCCCAGCAATTTGACCCATCAGCACGCCGCAGGTGATACCCAATTGACACAAAACTCCGACGGCACCTCTCAATTTTAAAGGTGCTATTTCCGTCATGTACATCGGAACTAAAGCAGTAGCTAAACCACCGGAAAGTCCTACGAATATATTTAGAAGTATTACATTACATATATTATCAATATTATGAAAATTTTGAAATCAAATTTAAGAAATGAAAGCCTTCAACTCAAAGGTACAAAAACCAATCTGCTTTATTCTTTTAGTGGAAATAAATTATTAAGTGAATATAATGTTGTGCCAAATATTCTGCGTCTTTTGATATAAGAAACGAAAAGTACCAAAGTGATCTTCACATATATTTCAATGGTTTTCCTAAAATATCTTGCATAATATACTTGACAACAAAATTTATTTTAGTAAGATAAGTTTTAAAACAGGAAATTGATTAGCTTTTGCATAAAGTTGTTCATGCAATTATGTCTATCGCTACGTGTTCTTGTATTAATTAAATGCCTAATTGGAATTGATTAAATCTTAACAATTCTTTGACTCACCGACAACCACTCGGCCGAGTAGAAAAAGCTCGACTGAGTTCATAGTTTGTACAAACATGAACAGAATGGCTCCTACAATCCCGCAAACATTTCCAATGCTCAGCGCGCCTTTCCGTCCGAACCTGTCGCTCAACCAACTAGCGATTAAAGATCCAGATACACCTCCGATAAGAAAGACCGATACTATGGCAGACCAGAGTAATTGGAGCTCGTGGCTGGACAATTGTACGTTATATCTTTCCCTGATACTATCATTGCAGAATGATTGCATAAGCTGTAAGCCAAACATATGACAATATAGTTTTAGATAACACTATGCTCGATGAAATTGCATATTGGTCTACTACGAACATGAGCAGGATTATTCATGACGCCTAAGTTATATCCTGCTGGTAATGTTGATCCCAGGCAGCAAGTGGCACCGCCCAATACCAGTAAAGGAGTCCATCCACCAGAATCAACATCATGTGCATTGTTACACTCCTATAAAAGAAATTATGCAGATTAGAAATTATGTCATACTGTGAGAAAACTTTCTCTCCTTTTAAGTGAAAGGTGAACTGTTTATTACGCAAAATAAACATTTATTTTGCATAACAGAAACGATCAACTCAGAAAATTTCTTTGTTAATTCTTACGATATATATATATATATATATATTTATGATCTACCATTATTCTCTAATCAGCAGTATAGTCACATAACAAATGCAAGTAATGCGTTTAATGTAAATACAAGTTGTAACATAATCTATAAATGCCATTTGCAGCATCTGTTGGTACGAGTCTTATTAACATGGCGATGTTTTCTGATAATTTCATATCATGTCATCAATTATACAATAGAATTCTTTAAATAAAGAATTATTTAACATTTATTTAATTGATTTAAGAATGATTTAATTATGATATCGCGGTAATTACGGCTGCAAATTATAGTAATGTAATGTTAATCCTAATAGTGAATATTTTCAATTGTTCTTTTTTTTACTTTACTAATGCAAAAAAAAAGAGAGAAAAAACACAAGTTCCAATTTTTATAAAACTAATTGAGTAGCAGACATTGATGTGTTTAAAATCTAATGTACGGGCTTCACCAATCTCTTAAAAATAAAATTTACGATATGTAAAATCAGAAGACCATACCGCTTATGTAATTAAGCATCGTGTAAAAAGTATGAAGTATATTCTGCACCCTCGTAGACCAATCAGTGATAACATGGAAAAGCCAGGACGGAATGATGGAATAAAATTCAACAAAACCACACACCATGGGCATACCTGCAAACTAGTCAGATTGCCAACCATGCATTATTATGAATTTGTTATAGAGCACGAATATACCTCTTTGACCGTTTGTCTTAAGGGTATACACACACGCACGCACAACACATACACACACATCTTCTGTCCACTGATGCAAATCAAATTATGGGCTACAATACTTATTTATATTGGTGGTGTTTACATATCAAAATATATATTTTGACTCTAATGATAATTCTATAAATATAGACAGATATATCTTCAGCTCAAAATATCATTAAGAAACATGCATCATTATAAATAATGAGTATTGCATTAGCAAAGCGAGCGTCTATTAGCGATACTTAATAAATAAGCTGATATTATTTCATTAGTTATTTTAAGTAGTCATTTTAACGATAAAGTTAAATTAATTTTAATCTCAGCACTTTCTTTGAAAATTTTGCTTATCATGTCAAATACTGTACTTTGTCATATAATTTTTCAAATACAGAAAGATACACAAAAAACATATCTGAATCATTTAGGAATCGTATAGATAACGGCTCATATCGTGTTCTTTAATTAATTAAATCGTAATAGATCAAAGTGGCAAGAAAATCTAAATTTTTTTTAACCAAAAAAATACATATTATATAAAGTACTATTATACATAATTTCCAAATGTTATACCTACATATAATTGAAAGAAAAGGCACCAGATTATAATATTAAATTAAAAATGAGTGAAAAATATCTAGAGAAAAACCAGAGAATCATATTCTTTAACGATAGTACATTGCGGGTGTTTAAAAACGAAAAATAAATTAGGACTATCCCTATTATATTTATGTGCCTTTAAGCCAAGTTACTTATTATAAAATTAATTATTAAATGTTGTAGCTTTAATTTTATCTGCTTATCTCTTCTATATTTTTTGAATCTAAAGAATATTAATACTCTTTATAATGTTTTTGATAAAAATAAAAAACACGTTTTTGTCCCTATTAGTGAATCCTCCAAGCAATGATGTGTCCCCAATTTGTGTGCCTATCCACATTTGATGCATTTTAATATGTGTTATAGTTACTAAAACAGATAAATGTAAGCTAATTGTTTAAGTTAATATTACATAAATCATTATTTTAATTGTAGAGGACACACTGATAGGACAAGCTTAAAACCTTATGATACATATCACTCTGGATTCGCATAAATTCTTTAAAAAAATAAAATATTATCTTTGGTATCATATACATTAATTAATATATGTATATATAATATTAATATTATATACTTGATAAAAAATGTTTTTTTTCTTATTTATTTGTGCTAGTTTTCTTTATGTTTATTTAAATACAAAAGCACTGTAACAGGGACACAGTTACCCTACTACGAAAGAAATGAAAAATGCATGATGTGATAATTGAGATATAAGTACATCGCTTTAATTGAATTTAAAA